CCTCTTTTTTCCCCTTCAAAACAGGCGTTCACGTGATCAACCTGTGTCGTTAGCACCGAAAAGAAAGGCCAAATTTAAAAGAAAACAAAACAACTAACACCTCACCTTCCCCCCACCCTAAAAATAGAACAAACCACATACCCCTCGATTTTAACAAGTTTTTTAAAATTTTGTTTTCAAAAGAAAGCCCAGGGAAAAAAGTAAAACTTAACCAAACAAACAAAAGAAGAACAGTTAACTACATCGGTGTTTTGTCACCCCACAATAAAACCTGAATCTCTGGTGTGATCGCAATGCTCTTCACAGTTGCACATTGGCCACAGAACGTCATGTGAGTTCGATTCCCAAACGTGAAGTGAGTTTACCAACTGTCTCCTGCAGCATCTTTCTGCGGGGGAAGCTGTTCCCGCTCGGACCAGTCTACCCTTGAAAGCTAAAGTAGAAGCGGCATGCCTTGTAATCGTACATGAATCGTACATGATCTAAATTGAGTCGAAAGGGGCGTTAAATACCGGCAGTTTTATTTTACAGGCAAGGATATCACTGGGAATTTTGTAAAAAGAATATATTAAAATTTCCTGGGTTGCCTTTGCAAACAAAAAGACAGTTGATAGACGTAACTAATTTGGGTTTTTTAAAAAAGAAAAGAGGAGAAGAAAAAAAAACCCTAAACAAACAACAATTTAAAAAAACAACTAAGGAAAACGTGAAAAGAAAGCATGGCATGGAACCGACACATAACAATAACCATTTATATTCACACTTCCGGGAGCGCAGACAGTATAGCGGGGGCATAGAAATGCTCCTAACGCCGTGAAAGTTGATCATGTGACATTATAACAAAGAAAGAAAACGAAGAAAGGAAACAAAAATATCTAATTCATCAATTCCTCCGTGGCCAAAAGAGTGCAGTCGGGTGTGAACAACTTTCTGCCCAATTTAAACGCCTTGAAACGCCGCTGTGTCACTCACGCAAACATCTACTGCTACAAACACATCAGACAGACAGACAGACAGACAGACAGACAGACAGACAGACAGACAGACAGACAGACAGACAGACAGA